ATAATAATAATAATAATAATAATAATAATAATAATAATAATAATAATTAATAATAATAATGCTTCAGAAACCTAGCAACAAACTTCTAAATAAAAATCATTAGATCAAAAGCAAAGTGTTAAAACTAGGAAGATTTATTAAAGTGTTACAGTGCCTTAAAGAACAAATAAAGCTGCAGGTTGAAAACTGGCAGGCATTGTTCCTCTAAATCATACATTGTTCAGAGGCCAGACACTGTGATTCCAAAGAACAAATGAAGCCATAGACCGGAAAAGCATTTCACCAACTCTTCTGCTCTGTGTTGCTCTGAAAGCAGCTGCAAATCATACCAGGTTTCTGTCAGTGTGATGCCTTCAAGTATCAATGGCAGATTGACAACAGCAGTGAAAACAGTAACTTCTCAGAGAAGTCTGAGGGCCTCATGCGTTTTTGACCATATTATTTTTCCCCATTCCAGAACTCCAAATAAGAGCAAAGGAAGAAGCCAGCCAGCTGAGCTTCCCCCCTCCCCCAAAATTAACTACCTTGATTGTTGAATTCTCTCTTTTTTATACTATAGTTCATAAATGGTCATTTGTGAACTGATTTTGAAATATTTGAATCTGAAATATATATGTGTGTATGTATGTATAGTATGCACACTGACACATATGTCTTACATGTTTAAAAAATAGCTAGTTTACTGCAGTATCACAGTGGCACAAACTCAAAGGTTCTTCTTGATTCATGATTATTTTATAAAATAATTGTTTAGTTTCAAAACACCAGACGTTTCTTTTCTACATTTTTCACATAAATTGATATAAAAATAATCAATAGATTTTCTGCTAGCTATATTTTCAAGGGCTATGATTATAAAAATGTAATTTGCCTGAAATCCACCAGAGGTTTCATAAGAATAAATATATGTGTAAATGTATTTTAGCATTTCATATAGTATAAGAACTGGATGCAGCTGCAATTTTAATAGCATTAACATCATTACATTTTGACTAACATCTTCCTTTTTTTTCAGAAAACGGAATAATTAAATCGGATAAAGTATTTGAAGTAATGCTTGCAACAGATCGAAGCCATTATGCAAAATGCAACCCATATATGGATTCACCTCAGTCAATAGGTATAACCACATATATTCTGTCAGATTAACTAAATGTTCGATTTTCTTAAAGATTCTGAATTTGAGTCTGCTTTCTATATGCTTCAGTCATGGTTTTGGAAAATGCAAAAAATGCTAAAATAATTAGAGAATATAGTGTATTTACTACAAGAAATTAGTAATGCGGAAAAACAGCTGAGGAAGAACATAATAGAAATGTGTGGAAATTAATATTATAGTGTAAGAGTGCTGAAATGTATTTTCTAGATAGTACTGGAAGTCATTTTTTCAGCCCCCAAATTAATTATTTAGAATTCATGCTTCCAGGTGGTTATAAAAATTATATGAGATGCCAGATTTGTCAATGGCACTTAGTCATCATGACCAAATTTAGTCTCTGTGTTCTGAGGCAATATAGAATAGAACAGAAAAACAGAGTTGGAGGTCTTCTACTCCAACCACCTAAATATTTCTGAATGTGTGGAACATATAACAAACCATTATCTTCATGGTCTGCTTGTGAATTGTTTTCATTCATGAATGTTTTATCTGTCACTGTTGGAAGCAAGAAGCTGGAAAAATGGATTTGTAAGCTAATACTCATCAGAAACTTCTTCTCCCACATTTATTCAAATATATTGATTTCTTTGTGATGTAAATTCTGTGTGCTTGGGTATTCACCTTTTGCAACTAAGAGATGAAAATATGGATTAGATTAATGTATTGCATTTAGCTATAATGTAATTTGTTTGGTTTTGATTTATTGTATAAAAGTTACCACATAGTGTTAACTATGGTTTATAGTACTTAGCCCAGTGTACAAATGAAGCAGTTGGGGAATCAGTATAGTTAGTATAATTATTCTCTAGCTCTACCTCCTCTTTAATAATCACTTTTTAAATTATGATAAAAGTTATAATTTGATAATAATTTGAAGATATTTAGATTCCCAACAAAGGTGTATGGTTTTAGCTGTGGTTGAGTTTGCAATACTGAAACAAAAGGAAAAAAACTTTCTCAATATTCACAACCTAGTTTAGGAGCAAAGCTATGTCTAGACAAGACATAATGGTTGGTTCAGTGAACTTTATAATGTTCTTAATGGGCTTGACCAGCATACCTTAGGAAAAACCTTTTCCGATACTCATATTCTCCATTTTTTAAATTAAAGAACAAAAATTAGTTCCTTCTCGCATAGAACCAGAAACTTACAGATTTCAAATATTTTAAGATGATTGCTTCTTCAAAATCAGGTCGTATTGGACAAATCCTTTGCTGCACAAAGTGGGAACAGTAGAATAGTTACAAAAACATTTTTTTCATAACACCAAGAACATATATCACGGAAAAGTGATTATATGGAGGTATAAGCTGTTTTTGCTGTATGAATTAGAAGAGTGATTCCATTCCTTCATTGCAAGGATCTATTGTATCTTTTGAGTGAATTATTCAACATCCCTATGCCTGGAGTCACACATTGTATTAAGTCAAAATGTTATTTGTTTGGCTTAGTATAATATATGAACATTGGGGTACTATGGCCCAGTCAACTTTTGACTTTTTAAAAAGAAGTTATATCTGTCTGTCTTTTTTTTTTTTTAAAAAAGTCCAAAGTTGGTTGGACCATAGTACCCCAATCTTCATTTATTACACTAAATCAAACAAACCACATTTTGAGTGTTGTTTAAATAATTAAAATCTAGCTGATGGTAAATCGAGTAGATATAAGACTAGGAGATGAAATGAAAATAACAGCTATGGAAATATTGTTACATAATATTTCATTGTAGAAAGTTGAAAAAAAAAAGTAAGGATGCAGTTGCCAGAATATCAACATGTTCATCTCCATGAAGTCACTAGGAATTGAATTTGATTCTGATACTTTATGAATATTTAGCACAAGAAATATCAGTACATATTCCCAATCCAAGATCATGTTCTCCAATGATATTGTTTATTCTTTCCTACTCATTTAGTTATATGGTAGGCTGGCTAAAATACATCTGCTAGCTGAATCTATTTACTTGAATATATTTGATATTACTCAGAAAATTTTCTTTGCCTTGTAGGATTTCAAGCAACAATCAGTGCTCCACACATGGTAAGTCTTAGGTTTCTTACTACTGCAATTTCATACTTTAAATCTTGCTTCCTCATTTGAACTGCCAATGTATTGATCTTAAAATAATGAAGGTCTTATGTTAATCTTAAAGACTGATAATTTATTGTTACAGAAGTCTCATGTTATGGGAGAGGATTCATTTAATATTAGAATGTAATGTATGTGTTCATTCTTTAATTCCACAGGTTTATTCATTTCAGCACAAATAAAAACATTTCCTGAATGCATATTCTTTTTCCTGGTTTGGAAAGCCTTTACAAATGTAGTTACAGGAGTGTGTCTTCTTCTATAACCTGCCTACTTCTTTTTCATTATGTCATCCTGTTCTTTATTCACATCTTAGTTGTCTAAAATTAAAAAGATCTTTGGTGCTTCCAAGCAGACAGCATCTATTGATACCAGCCAAAAGGATTGTGCAGTTATTACATAATTCTTCAACAAAATTTTTATAGTTTAATAAAAAGAAAATAGAAAAAGCTGTAGGAAAACATTAAATAAAAAAAATAGAAGACATCATCTAAAATTACTTGTAAAATGACATGAGTGAGACAGATTGACAAAAATATAGTCTGGAAATAATACCTTTTAACATTTCACTAGTGCTTTTTAAAATTGTTTTACTACTTTATACATTAATGAAGTTCATGCAATTATTTTGAGAGAAAATACAAGTAGTTCTTGAGTTATGTCCATTTATTCAAAGTTCAAAGTTACAGCAGCACTGAAATGACCATTGCAGCATTCCCATAGTTACATGGTCAACATTCAAACACCTAGTGACCGGCCTGCATTGTGATCACATTCTCCTGCCCTGCACAAACTATCTTTGCTTCAGTTCCCTTCATCTGCCTATCTCTCCCCCTCTCCATCTCTTCCCTTTTGGCTGCCCTGCACGGCATGGTCCAGATGAAGAGACCACTGTATGGTGCTGCTGCTGCTGCAACCCCCAGCTAGTTGTCTTCTCACCTCCCTGGTTGCCAGGCTCCCTTTTTTGGCCTACTCCACTTCAACACTCTTAGCCTGCTGCCAGTCAAGAGCGCTCTCACACGCTGTACATTCGTACCCTACACAAAGAAGTTCGTATACTGCCCTGAACAAAGGAAGGAGCTGGGAAGGGAATATGCTGGACCACAAATCCTCTGCACCCTACATTCTGCTGGCCAAGGTGATCTACCTGCTGGGTAGTGAGGTAATACCTCCCCCTTGGCTACCTGGCTGCCTTGCCTTGCACAATACAGTTATCTTCTAGAAATATGCTTTATTGGTGGCTTTTGTGTTTTAAACTTTCTCTAGAACATTTTTTCTAGGTCCAGATTCATTTGGCTTTGGCGTTTTGCAAGCTTATAGATTCAAATTGGGTAGTTCTAGATATAAAGGGGGAAGGAGATTTTAGAAGTACGTTTTTCTTTTAGTTGGCAAACTGCTATATATTCAGAGTACCCATTTCAGATGTAGTAGTAAAGCCCAGATCTTGTATTTGATTTTTTAAAAAATGCATTTACTTAATGAATTTTATTAGTTTGCCTTGAAATTTTAATGTAAAAAATATGATGATATTTGAGGTATCCATCTGTCTGTTTCAGTTTAAATACTGTTTTCTTTTTAGCATTTAAAAATATGTTTAAATCTTTATAAAAACAGATTTAATGGTGGGCAGAATCATAGTAAAATATATTTTTTATTCTTTCTGGTTAGCATGCATATGCTTTAGAACTACTATATGAACAGTTACATGAAGGAGCAAAAGCCCTTGATGTAGGATCTGGAAGTGGTATTCTTACTTCATGCTTTGCCCGGATGGTGAGAAATTGATTTTATCAAATAAATGAAATGTTTTGCTTTTGTTAATCAACAGAGTAATTATTCTGTTTTAATTTTTAGAGATATTTAGAAAACAGTTACAAAGGTTTAGTTTTTTAAATTAAAAATATTCCTTTATACTCATAAAGTATTCATGAAAGTGTTCAAAAAAATGCATAAAACTGGAATAGCTAAAACCAGCTAATTGAGTTTCAAAAGTTAATCTCACCTAATAGTTTAAGTTTTTGAAAGAGAAAAGTCCTAAAAAATAAATAGTAAGAAATTCCAAGTAATTTATGCACTAAAGTGGTATCTATTATCTCATTCAAAACACTTCAGAACTAGAAATCAAGCTGGTATTTGGGGTGCTGTGCATTGTGAGGCATGCAAATCTGTTCGTCTCCTGAGACTAATCTCTAGACTTGGAAACTACAACTAGCAATATTTATTTTTAGTAATAATTTCAAATGTTTAATTCAATCTAGTCTTTCTTTTGTTTGTTTTCTAGTAAAAATATAAGAACTATTTCTTTTATTGATTGAAGCCAATTGGTACCCTTATTACATCTTTTCAGTGGCATTTGTGTGGGGGCAAGGAAGGCTGGCAAGGATATATGTAACTGGCAATGTATTTTACTTGTGTGAATAATAATCCTTTTGATTTTGTTTCAGGTTGGTGCCAAAGGACAAGTTGTAGGAATTGATCATATCAAAGAATTAGTTGATGACTCAATAAATAATGTCAAAAAGGATGACCCTCTATTGCTGTCTTCAGGAAGAGTGAAACTAACTGGTAAGTACTAGAAAATATTACAAAATAAATACAGATTACATTGCATAGTGTGTAGCATTTAAATTTTGTTAATAAATTAGATTACATTCTCTTGTACTTTATTTTTACATAACTTTATATAACTGCTTGATCAGAAAGATTCAGGATGACATACAGATTAAAAAAAACATAGAAATATAGGAATGTTAACAACTTTTTTTGAAAAAATGATCACACCCAAGGCACAGACTGAAGACTGTCAGACTAATCAGTGAAAATAACACATCCTGATTAAAGGAGAAGGGGAACAGCTAGTTTTAAGTGTTTTTTTAAAAGCAGACATAGTTGGGGCCATCTAAATTTTTCTGGAAATGCTCTTCTTTAAGGCAGACATAGCAACAAAGAGAAAACTATATTTTCCCAAATGACATTATTTAAACAATGAGACCCTGTTCTTTACCATAGACTGGTCAAAGCAGATGATATCTCAAAGATTGTGAAATTAAACAGCATTTTTTCAAAAAGAACTATTAGCAAACAATCATTATGAGCCGTGGTGGCGCAGTGGTTAGAGTGCAGTATTGCAGGCTACTTCTGCTGACTGCTGGTTTCCTGCAATTTGGTAGTTGTACAAATCTCACCAGGCTCAAGGTTGACTCAGCCTTCCATCCTTCTGAGGTGGGTAAAATGAGAACCCAAATTGTTGGGGGCAATATGCTGACTCTGTAAACTGCTTAGAGAGAGCTGTAAAGCACTGTAAAGCGATATATAAGTCTAAGTGCTGTTGCTATTGCTATATGAGCTTCCGTGGCCTCCAAATCTGACATATCTTGCAGAGCACTTGAAAACTCTTTTTCACAAAGATTTAGTTAATAGGTACTTGAACAAGGTTATTTATTCCTTCTGGCTAGTGTTGTGAACTAAAACGGACAAGGACAGCAGTTATAGATTGTAAGTTGTATGTATGTATGTATTTATTTATTTTGTCAAGCGATTATTAGATAACAGGTATAAGTATAAACATGGTTATGAATACATGAAATGGATACGAATAAGAAAAAAAAGAAACAATAGGACAGGGACGGTAGGCACGTTGGTGCGCTTATGCACCAACTTATGAAACTTACCATATAATCTTAGGAAAGTGCATTATGTTGGAAATATTTATACCATGCTATTCTCCAGCCTTAATCATTTGCACTATGAATTCTAGTTGGTAATACTATCAAAAATTAAATGGCTATCTTTTTTACTACATTTGAAGTTTTGTGTCAACTAATTTTGATATTCCATAAAAATGTTTAACCGTTTAAGTAGAAATTTAGTGCTTTGACTAATAACATTAAATTCTTTATCCTATTTTTCTTTCAGTGGGAGATGGAAGATTGGGATATCCAGAAGAAGCTCCATATGATGCTATTCATGTTGGAGCTGCTGCACCTGTTGTACCACAAGCAGTAAGTAATATGTGTATATATGTACGTATTTGTGTGAGATAAGTGTACTTTGCACCAAATCTCTTAAGTAAAGAGGGTTAAGAATTTGCTTACACATGGTTTAAAAACATATTTAAACCATGTGTAAATAAATTCTTAATAGCATAAATATATTGCAGAGATGGAAATTTAATTAGATATGCTAAACTTATTAAATCATGTTGCTGGAATTTGAGGCTATAATATGTTTAAGTTTTAAAAAGCTTTTAGCAGCCCCGGCCCAAATTCCATTCATTTTTTTTATAGGTTCATGAATAAGATGAAGATCCACAAGTTGCTTCCTAGTTCCTTTCCTTTTTAATTTCCCCAAATTTATATTTCAACGATGATGGAGTAAAGAATGGAAAGGGCCCGAAAACCATTTCAGTCAATTTTGCAGTACAGTAGTTATTGCAGTAGGAATTATTGATTTGCAATTCTATATATTGAAGGACTGTTGTTTTTATACATTGTTTTTATAATAATATATATTAATAATATTTTTTAATGTGTAGCTTATAGATCAATTAAAACCTGGTGGAAGGTTAATATTACCTGTTGGGCCTGCTGGAGGAAACCAGATGCTGGAACAATATGATAAGCTAGAAGATGGCACTGTCAAAATGAAGCCTCTGATGGGAGTGATATATGTGCCTTTAACAGATAAGGATAAGCAGTGGTCCAGGTGGAAGTGATTTTCAGTTCCACTGTCTTCTTCCACACACTTGCATATACAAGGTGAAACCGTCTTAATTCTTAAGAGGGTAGCTTGCCACTACATCATTTGTTGTCACTACTGTTTTGTGCTTGATTATGCATTGGAAGTTTTGCATTGCTGCATAACCATGCAGTTTTTTTTAATGTGCAACATTAAAAGGTAAAAACATAAAGAATTGCATGGATTGCATGTTATTTCAGTATAATTTATCATTTCTTTAAATTCTGTAGTATGTTAAATAATAATCTCAATTGCTTAAAGTTATTCCCTAAATTTAAAGCTCTTTTTTCTTCTTAGGTCTGATTTCAACAGAGAATAAAATGTAAAATGGACTTTGGTAACTTCAGTAGGTTCAGAAAATAATGAACTCAATTTATTTTCCAGTCATTAAAAAATGAAATATAGCTCAGAAATCTGGAGGAAACAATACAAATGATACATTCTAATTTCAATTAAGCCGGTTTTAGAGAAGCATGTTATGCTTACAAAAATTGCTGAGCCAAATTCTTTATATTAGCATGTATCAGAATATTTCTTTTAAGTGTGATAAATATTGTTTGGTCTTCTTCAAGCTGACAGATTGTTCTTCCAGTTCAATTAAGTTTTTTTAAATAACTCAGATGATTTGTCCAAGCTTGCTAATTATCCAGTAATACAGAGGAGACATAAGTATAGACTGCATTAAACACTTGCCAGTTATTAGTTTATAAATAAGTAAACCAGCAATCTCACTTTGTTACTGGCCTAGAAATGATATAATATTGACTTTTTAACAGTTGTAAAGCACTTGTGCTCAAATGAATTCTTGAAATGTATAGCAGTTGAATTTACTAAAAGTACAGCAAGTGTATATACTAAATGTACTAAAGTACGTTTTACATGATTCCATGTTCAGCGATCTAAATTCTGTGAAGCTAATTAATCATTATTTATGCATAAGACATATCCATATCTTACACTTGAAGCTACAACACAGAGTTGAGAATCCCGTGACAGCAATGGAATATGACTTAAGTGGTGTTGCAGTCCATCCTCATTGATATGTATTGGTCCTTCCATGCTTTTATATCTAGTACAGGCTTGTAAAGTATTATTTATTTCAAAGCTTAGCATTTGCCTAATATATTTTCATAATCAATTACTTCCAAATATATTTTTCTTATTGTTGCTAAATTAATTCTCTGTATGATGGGGGAAGGGGGCAAGCCTATACATATCTATTTTAGGTAACACAAGTGCTTCACTTCGTTATAAATAAGTATGGTGACAGATGGTACGCTCGTTTATCCTTCTGCTCTCAGTTGCATATCTGCTTATAATATCATGACTAGTCTGAGACAGGAATAGGCATTTTTGAAATATTCTATTGTAACTTGGAACAGTAGCTAATAAGGGGGGGAATATGGAAAAGAGAGAAAGAGATAGCAAATCTCTATCACTGTAGTAGTTACAATATATGGGAGATTGTTGTCTAATCTCTTACACACAAAATTATTGCTTTATTTATGGAATTGTGAAAGTGGCTTAAATAAAGCTTTTCTGAGCCATACAATAGAGATATCTCATTTCCATGAAAACTTGAGCCAGAATCTTTTTAGCTTATTGAAGACTAACAGAAAGTCCAGGATTGAAGTTAAGTACCAAAATGTTTATAAATAAGCATCTGGAGGGGATTCAATTATAAAAATACTACACCATCCATTAATTCAAATATTGTTTAAATAACTTGAAAACCAACCAACTAGAAGATCTCTTTACAGAATGCCAGTTTATACTATGGAAGAAAAAACTACCAACCAATGTAGTAAAGGAAATAGCTTAGCTTTACTATAATATTTCACGAAAGTATTTGACGATGGCATGGGTAAACTGGTTGGTAGATTGTTCCTATTTCTCTTAATTTCAAGTAACAAGCTTCCAGCCATGTATCAGCTTAAAGCTTTGTCAGAAGACCTACTAGGTTTGGATTAGTCCACATATTAATATCTCTAATATTCTAGTTTAGGGCGTGGAACCTGATGACATTCAGGTGTTCTGGGCTGTATCTCACAAAAAGCCAGCTAGAAAAGCCATGGGAAGATATAAAAATATAATTGTAGCCCAAAACACACAGATGTTAAAGTTGCCTTTACCTGTCCCATTTTGATGGTACATTTCATTAGTCATCAAATAGTTTGGAATAACTTCACAAACTTGAAACATACATTTTTTTACTAGATTCAGCATAAACGTTTAAACATTTTAATTGAACCACAGCAAAGAGAATTTGAAAAAAAAACATGTATCTTGTGGTTTTCAGCTTCTGAATTATACATTGTGAAAAGCAAAGCTTAAAACTATTGCATACAGTATGAGGTGACTAAAAAAAATACTTATTTGTACAGAATCATGACTGCAAGTTACAACCTCAAATCCATAATCCTTCATGCTGCTCTTGCTTTATCTTACCCTTATTGTTTTTTCTGCGATAGTATTTATCATCATTATGTTGCATGTATCTCTGTGTGCCTTCTTTCTTTTTTGTCCTATAATTTGAATCTAGAAGCTCCACATATTCCATAATTTATGCTGCCCTTTTCATTTCACCTTCATCTGTGTTTATATTAAATGGCTATGAATTATACTTTACACATATGAGAGTTTCTGATTTATAGCTGAAATCTAAGGGTTCTTGGGAAAGAATCTTATGCAATTTTGAGAAATTAAAATTGTAATTTTATACTCATTTTCCTTGGAGTGAGTACTAATACATTCAGTGTAATTGAGGCAGTCTTTGTTCCCACTTATGAAAAGGTTTTATTTTTCCTTTAGGCACTTGATGCTTTCTGAATTTCTTTTCTAAAATACACTGCTCAAAAAAATAAAGGGAACACTTAAACAACACAATGTAACTCCAAGTCAATCACACTTCTGTGAAATCAAACTGTCCACTTAGGTAGCAACACTGACAATCAATTTCACATGCTGTTGTGCAAATGGAATAGACAACAGGTGGAAAGCATAGGCAGTTAGCAAGACATCCCCAATAAAGGAGTGGTTCTGCAGGTGGTGACCACAGACCACTTCTCGGTTCCTGTGTTTTCTGGCTGATGGTTTGGTCACTTTTGAATGCTGGCGGTGCTGTCACTCTAGTGGTAGCATGAGACAGAGTCTAAAACCCACACAAGTGGCTCAGGTAGTACAGCTCATCCAGGATGGCACATCAGTGCGAGCTGTGGCAAGGTTTGCTGTGTCTGTCCAGAGCATGGAGGCGCTACCAGGAGACAGGCTAGTACATCAGGAGACATGGAGGAGGCCATAGGAGGGCAACAACCCAGCATCAGGATTGCTACCTCCACCTTTGTGCAAGGAGGGACAGGAGGAGCACTGTCAGAGCCCTGCAAAATGACCTCTGGCGGGACACAAATGTGCATGTGGCTGCTCAAACAGTCAGAAACAGACTCAATGAGGGTGGTATGAGGGCCCGACGTTCACAGGTGGGGGTTGTGCTTACAGCCCAACACCGTGCAGGACGTTTGGCATTTGCCAGAGAACACCAAGATTGGCAAATTCGCCACTGGCGCCCTGTGCTCTTCACAGATGAAAGCAGGTTCACACTGAGCACATGTGACAGACGTGACAGGGTCTGGAGACGCCGTGGAGAACGTTCTGCTGCCTGCAACATCCTCCAGCATGACCAGTTTGTCAGTGGGTCAGTAATGGTGTGGGGTGGCATTTCTTTAGGGGGCGGCACAGCCCTTCGTGTGCTCACCAGAGGTAGCCTGACTGCCATGAGGTACTGAGATGAGATCCTCAGGCCCCTTGTGAGACCATATGCTGGTGCGGTTGGCCCTGGATTCCTCCTAATGCACGACAATGCTAGACCTCGTGTGGCTGGAGTGTGTCAGCAGTTCCTGCAAGACGAAGGCATTGATGCTATGGACTGGCCTGCCCGTTCCCCAGACCTGAATCCAGTTGAGCACATCTGGGACATCATGTCTCACTCCATCCACCAACGCCACGTTGCACCACAGACTGTCCAGGAGTTGGAGGATGCTTTAATCCAGGTGTGGGAGGAGATCCCTCAGGAGACCATCCACCACCTCATCAGGAGCATGCCCAGGTGTTGTAGGGAGGTCATACCGGCACGTGGAGGCTGTTAGGGATAACATTGTTTACCCTAACTGGTTTGGGTAAAAATAAT